TAATGTACGTATATTAGAATTTTGATAGTAAAAGCAAGATGCTCAATGCACCTTACGGAGAATAATAAAGAGGAGAGTACAGAAATATGGTTGATAAACACCATCTTCTTATCAGATCAATACCGACGAGATCTCGGCGATGGAGACTACTGGAAACCATAGGAACAAGACTGGGAGACGGGGAACTCCCAATGATGAATGAAAAAGGATTATGTGTACAAGAAAAGAATGAAGAATGGAGGAAGGTCTACTCGGAGAAAAGACGACAAAGTTGGGAGCGGCGAGTGATAGATTACATGGGTGCAAATAGTTTTAACACACATTTTAGTTTGAATTGATATAAAAAATAAACATGCAAGATTTGTAATTAAGCATTCTTTACATTTTATTTAATCAACATAAATGACTTGACTACTTTATTTGCATGTATTTTCACCATTTAAAACATGCAACAGAGACTTCTGATCAATACATACGTACTTTGTCGTCCGAGAACATTTTTTTTTCAAAGGGAGGGGGATAAATTATGTCTGGTACCTTGTATTGAAAATGATAAACTCAATATTTACATATTTACACCCTGTCCAATATAATTTTCTCAGTGTCTAAAAACTTCTTTCTTTAGTGTAAAGAGGGTCCTTAATCTAAGGAGAAAAAAAGTCTCTGATGACACTGTAGCTCTACTGGTTTGTACTTGTAACGAAAGAAGAGAAAAGTAGCATTTGCCTTTCAAACTATGCAACAGCAATGATTGAATAATGGTCCTTGGTTTAATCTCTTTGTGGCAAAATTTATTGCAATCAAACTAAAAGTCTTTTGTTTGTTTGTTTATTTGTTTAACACCCCTTTCAGGAATTTTTCACTCATATTGAGACGCCACCACTTGCCGGTGAAGGGCTGCAAATTTATACCTTTACTCAGCACTAAGGACCATTGAGCAGTGATGGATCTTTTTCGTGCCAGCACCTACTGCTACATGGGACCTCGGTTTATATGGTCCCATCCGAAGGACCGGTCTCCACCTCCCGCAGTGGGAGTAGTATTTTGATAGAATTTCACCAAAATTTCTAGTTTTAGTAACCATGGCAAGACCATTCCTTAAAATTAAAAAACTGATATACTGAATTACTCAGTGAAGTCTACTTGAATGCAAAGTTATTTTAGGAATGACTCTAATTCTTGGCCAAATTATTCGAGTATAACCTGGTTTGGGTCAGTTTACGCTGTTTTATAATCCGCGAAGCGGAAGCGGATTATAAAACAGCGTAAACTGACCCAAACCAGGTTATACTCGAATAATTTGTCAAGAATTAGAGTCATTCCTTATAATTTAAATTTAAAATCATTAAATAACTATGGGTGTAAAATTTCGTTGCTTTTTATTAGTTCAAATTTGCCGCTCAATAATACAACCGTAGTAACGGAAGTGATGGGAAGCGAGGGGAGGTAAAAACTGATGCATAGGCCTAGCAGCTTGTTTACATGTGGTAAGATCGAATTATTGTTTGAAGTTAAAGGTACATTTATTAAATCTGGAATTTTCCATGAATCCCGAGGACTGGAAATGAGAGGATTGTATGGATACAGATGATTCAGCTGGTTGTCAGGGGGGGGGGGGGGTTGTCCCCATACCAAACCAGGTTATACAGAAATAATTTGTGTTCCTTTTTGGATATTAACCAATCAGAGGCTAGAATACAAACAAAATTAAATTATACTGAAATAAGAACAAGACTGCAGGAGGAATAGGGTTCTGAGAGTATTTCACAGAAATTTATATTTTTAGTAACCATTGCAACATCGTTCATCAAACCCAAAAACAGAGACACTGAACTATGTATCTTAGTGTAGTCTACTTGTGTGCCAAGTTATATTGAAATCAGACCAAAACTGTAGGAGGAGTAGCGTTTGGAAAGCATTTCACAGAAATTTCTATTTTTAGTAACCATGGCAACAATGTTCATCAAAATCAAAAACTGATACTGCAGTATGTTTCTTAGTGTAGTCTTCTTGTGTGCCAAGTTGTATCTTGTGTGCCAAGTTATAATGAAATCATACCAAAATTGTAGGAGGAACAGCATTTTGAAAATTTGTTTATAGACAGACGAATGGAAGACGACACCTCACTATCGCATAAGTACTGAAGCGTATTAGGGCCGCAGCAGTATCTTTTATTAATTTGTTATAACAAATTATTATTTTGATATAACAAATTACTGATCTGTTATAACAAATTACATGTACTAATCTGTTATAACAAATTATTACTTTGAAATAGCAAATTATCAATTTGTTATAACAGATTTTCAATCTGTTATAACAGATTATCAATTTGTTATAACAAATTAGTAATTATAATAACAAATTGTCAATTTGTTAAAACAAATTAGTAATTTCATATAAAAGATTATTCAATAAGTTTTTAAATTAGAAAATTATTATCGGCAAGGTTTAATTGTTACTAATATTGCAGATTTTATTGAGTCAGTTACTTGGATTAAATGTCTCTGTTAGACAATTTAAAAGATTTACTGCATCCCGGGGATTCAATCTAATGTTCTGATTGTTGGATCCTTCATATTTAGAGAAATTTGAAGATCCGGACAATTAAATTTGATTTCTAGATTTCATTGTCGTCCATTCAAATTAACACTAAAATGGATAGTCCTTTGCAAGTCAACCCAGAGGTCAAAAGGGGAGAAAACCTAATTTTTCCTTCTTTACATATGTGTAATATTTTGGATTGCTTCACGATTTCTTTTAAAATGTATAGGTAGTCCCATTTGAGGCAACTGGGATACAAATTGCAAATGAATTTGAAGAAACAACTGTCAAAGTTTTGGGCCAGTAATAAGTTATAAACTAAGGCTATAGTGGGACTTTTCCAACATTTCGATTTTATAAATTACACCCTTACATGAAAAATAACACAAAGTATCTAACTATTTCACCAAGTACTACCCACTCAAAAATATTGTTTATTTTCTTTTTCAGAGAAAGTTTGATGTATCATTTCATTTTTTTCTATGATAATTTATCTACAAATTCATTTTTGTCAGTGTTGTCTTTCTTGCCCCCAGCGTAAAAAAAAAGGGGGGGGGCAGGGGGTTCACCTGAGGACCAGATCCAGGGTTTTGCATTAGGAACCGGAGTGCTATGATCTGGCAAAGTCTCATTGAAGCTCCTGAGAATTAACTACATTGTATAAGGAACCTGGGGATTTTGACACATTGTATCTTTATTACATGATGTTCAACTGTGAAAATTCTATGCTAAAACATCTTACTCCAAATTAATGTTGGTTAAAAGCTCGATCAACAGAGCTTATGTGTATAGCTTTCACAAATCCGACCTAAAATAAGATTTTCTGACACCTTCAAAGAACTATATATGGTTTGGGCCATTTTAGGCCCCCATTCAGAAAATGTTTATATTTACTATGGGGAGTGATAAGGCAAGTGTGTTGCTTAAAAAATATATTTTAATTTGTTCAGGCATTTCGTTGCCATGGAAACCGTCGTCAAAAAACACATACCTTCAGACCTACAAATCCGGCATTTATCGTCATTTAACCAATCTTTAGTTTTGATACCAACTATAATGTCTTCAGTAAATGTCTATACTTATACTTTGGGATGCTAGTATGTCACAGCGACTGTTTTACGAAGGAAATATATTTTGAATTGACCAGGCATTCCGTTTCCATGGTAACCATTTTTAAATTAGTAATTTATAATTTGTTATATAAAATTATTAATTTGTTAAATCAATTTATTAATTTGTTTTAACAAATTACTTATTTGTTGTAACAGATTACTAATTTATTATAACAAAATACTAATATGTTGTAACAGAATACTAAATTGTTATCACAAAATACTAATTTGTTATCACAAAATACTAATTTGTTATAACAAATTGATAATTTGTTATAACAAATTGATTATTTGTTATAACAAATTGATAATTTGTTATAACAAATTAATAATTTATTAAAACAAATAAATAAAAGATACTGCTGCGACCCTAATACGCTTCCGTACATAATCTCCTCTGGTCTCTGACTAGTCCGAAATATCTGACGTTTTCCAGGCTTTTTTCACGATTTTGATATTTCATGTGCCAGGAAAACGTGAAATATCAAAATTGTGAAAAAAGCCTGGAAAACGTCAGATATTTCGGACTAGTCTCTGACGAGTAGAGCTAAAAATATATTAACACTTATTACAATAGTAAAATTATACAATATAGGATAAAGTTAATATCCTCGCAAAGTATGTCAAAGTATTGAACACCATAAACTGTGAGAAATGTTTGGAACACAACGAAACACTGTTTAAAGTGTTCTGAAAATGCATTTAAATTCGAACAATCCAATTCCAATTCTGCAACAATTATCATTTTTCAGTAATAATGAGCCATTATTCCATAAGACAGTGAGTCATCCGTGTTGCACAGAGGTTATATCATTACACTCTAGAGTCATAGAGTAAGTAGATGAACTGAACATTGATCAACCCTTACATCATGTGTTTGAATCCTACTTTGGAACACGGAGACTGTTCCTTAGGTTGTGACTGCATAAACTGTCCTTTGTTCGGTGTCGCAGTAGGTGCTGGCATGATAAAAAAGACCCCTCACTTACTCATAAATGTCGAGTACATCTAAATTTGCAGCCTCCCACTCAGTGAAAAATTACTTGAAGGGATTTAAGGCAAACAAACAATCAGGATACAATGTTAAGAATCTGTAAAAATTTTCCTCTCATTTCTAAATCAAGTCTGATGTCTGTTCCTATTGTCCCCATCTTTAACCTTCCAAGTGCAAAATCTTTGCAACAACAACGGTGTGAGAAAATTTCTTCACTCTGCTTTAAGATAAATCCAGTATAACTCCATAAGCACATTATGTTATCATATTTCTCTAACTACCTCATCCATCCCTTAACCCTCTTGCCCAACTTCCATTATTTTTAAACTCCTTTGCAAGAATAGGATCAATTAAAGTTTTCAGAATTGGTTTTATTATTTATCTCATTCTTTGTTTTTGAATAAATTCAATAAATATACAATATCAAAAAAGTCAAGAAATATCACAGCTGATTATCACTTGTTGGCAAACTGTGAAGACACCCATGCCAGGCCCCACTTCAAGTTTGTTAACATGTACTTAAGAGCTTTAGTCCACTGTTCTTCAGAGTTGAACTGAATTCTGAAACAAAAACAATCAATGAGCAATACAATTAAATTTTTTTAGAAGATCTAAAATTCAAATTTAAAGTTTCTATATTAAACTTAACAACATTTGGAGCATCTTGGAAAGACTGCAGTCTACTTTCTTTAAATATAAAGTGCACTGCCACGGCACATGATACACCCATCAAATATTGTTTATCACAAACAGATGAGGGAAAAAATGTGATAAAAAGTACTTTTATGTGATAAATGCATGATTTTAAACTTCAGACCCCAGAACAATAACTCTATTCAATGTAAAAAAGGGTCAATAACTCATAACCATTTTTGTGCTTTAACAACAATTTTTTTGGTCTTATAAACTATTCTTAATGAAATCAATTTTTTTAAGGAATTGACTGATATGCATTTAGAGGTTGCATATAATTTCTTTAAAATTTGTTTTGGTTTCAATTGCCATTTAACAGTGGAAGAAGAGAATTATCTAGTAAATGATATTCATTTTACCTCTGTTGAGAGACCATGTTTATCATAATGTGCCTCATTTCCCTTCTATTGAGACACAATGTTATTTATGTGCCTAATTTTACCTTTATTGAAAGACCATGTTAATATTATAATGTGCCCCATTTTACCTCTGTTGGGAGACCATGTTAATTATGTACTTCTTTTTACCTCTATTGAGAGACCATATAATTAATAATATGCCTCATTTCCCTTTTTAGGGAGACTCACTTGATTGAGTATGATGTCCCTGTGCTGCTATCCTCTATTTTCCCTTTCTCCATCTTGTATGGTAAACAAAACCCTGTGTCCCCCTTCTCTACCTCTTCCTTAAACTAAAATAATAGATAATGCAATGATTGTCTGCCTTAATAAATATCAGAGATGATGAAATGACAAAACAACAATATAAAAGTTATGATCATACCTGTTGTAAGCAGTCTAAGAAGGCTACCATAGCTTGATCAAATCTAGATAAGTAAAAAAACAAGAGGCCCAAGGGCCTTAACGGTCACCTGAGTATAATACAACAATTTAGAGGATCCATAGAGTATAAAATGAACTGAAAGGTGAAGCTTTGTTGCCCAAAAGCAAGAAAAATAGGGTGATCAGGATTAACAAAATAATTAGTCTAGTATTCATTAACAGTTCATAAATTAGGTTCTAATCTGTTCCCCATTTATCACTCTCACCAGACAGTATATTAAGAAACTATCAGTGCTTCTGTACTCTTTTAATTCCTTGTGGAAATCTCTTACATTGGCCTGAGTAAGACTCTTGGTCTTTGATGAACACTTAAGGTACTGGTATTCCATCCCTAATAGCCTCAGATTCAATGAATTTGAATACATAACAGATGTGTACGGGTGGAATACTCAGTATATTTAGACATAATCTACATTTATTACTATTAGCATGTAAGAATGGAAGTGTCCTAATTTATGACTTGACCTTTGTTGAAGAGTTATCTCCCTCTTTTTTAAGTAATAAAAATCAATTTTAAAAAAATATACGGTAAAAAAATTGTTTTCATTTGTCAATCTATTTCTAATGATTTAATGGATCTTTCCACCACAGTAGTTATTGATATTCTTATTATCTGAATTTTTATTTTAAAAAAATCGCTTGTCTCCATAGACTTCAATGCAATTTCTATTAATTAAATACTGCTTAGTTAATTACGTTTTTGAAACTTCCACTTGGTAAATCCTTTTCTACTGTAAAGTTCTTTGAATTAATATCAGAGTATTATATACGTGATTGATATTTAAGGATAGAGAATTAGTTCCTATTAGGGATGGAAAACCTTAATAAGACAAGTCTACCTGATCATTAAAACTATGAAAGTACTTTTTGTATTATACAATAAAAATTCTTGCATAATTCTCTTATTCTATTAACCTTTCAAGTACATTATTTACAGTGATTAATTATCACAAGTAAATGGCAAAGGGGAATAACTCCTCTCAGTAGAATACAAATTAATAGAGCCCTGGCCTGGACTAGAACACTTGACCAAATGGTCTTGATGTTCAAAAATCTGGTAAAAATACCCTTCCTTATTAAAACTTTTACCCTTTTTGCCTCTGATATGCCCAGGTGCAGAGAAGATTTTTAAAGCATTAATGCATTTTCACTATATAATATTAGAGTCCCGCCCTAACATCTGAACCTCTGATACAGGGGTCATGAAATTCACAAATTTGGAAAAGGCATCCTTGCTTATCATAACCATGTATTTGTTTAAATAATACCCAGGAGAAGAGAAGAAGCTTTTCAAAGAAATAATGCACTTTCACTATATGATCTATATAGCCCCACCCTAGCACCAGAACCCCTGACCCAGGGGCCATGAATTTCAAAATTTTGGTAGAGTCACTCTTGCTCATCATAACTATGTATTCGATTTGTTTCAATAATACCCAGGAGTAGAGAAGATTTTCAAAGAATTAATGCATTTTCACTATATAATCAAAAGAGCCCCGCCCTAGCACCAGAACCCCTGACCCAGGGGCCATGAATTTCACAATTTTGGTAGAGTTACTCTTGCTTATCATAACTATGTATTCAATTTGTTTCAATAATACCCAGGAGTAGAGAAGAAGATTTTCAAAGAAATAATGCACTTTCACTATATGATCTATATAGCCCAGCCCTAACACCAGAACCCCTGACCCTGGGGCTATGAATTTCACAATTTTGGTAGAGTCACTCTTGCTTATCATAACTATGTATTCAATTTGTTTCAATAATACCCAGGAGTAGAGAAGAAGATTTTCAAAGAATTAATGCATTTTCATTATATAATCAAAAGAGCCCCGCCCTAGCACCAGAACCCCTGACCCAGGGGCCATGAATTTCACAATTTTGGTATAGTCACTCTTGCTTATCATAACTATGTATTCAATTTGTTTCAATAATACCCAGGAGTAGAGAAGAAGATTTTCAAAGAAATAATGCACTTTCACTATATGATCTATATAGCCCCGCCCTAACACCAGAACCCCTGACCCTGGGGCTATGAATTTCACAATTTTGGTAGAGTCACTCTTGCTTATCATAACTATGTATTCAATTTCTTTCAATAATACCCAGGAGTAGAGAAGAAGATTTTCAAAGAAATAATGCACTTTCACTATATGTTCTATATAGCCCCGCCCTAACACCAGAACCCCTGACCCTGGGGCCATGAATTTCACAATTTTGGTAGAGTCACCCTTGCTCATCATAACTATGTATTCAATTTGTTTCAATAATACCAAGGAGTAGAGAAGAAGATTTTCAAAGAAATAATGCACTTTCACTATATGATCTATATAGCCCCGCCCTAGCACAAGAACCCCTGACCCTGGGGCCATGAATTTCACAATTTTGGTAGAGGGTCAATGCTTATTACAATCATGCCAACAGTTTGACTGCTTGATGTCCAGGAGTAAAGAAGAAGATTTTTAAAGATTGCATTAATTTTGATGGTTTTGGCCCCACCCTCAGGCCCCAGGGGGGCAGGGGCCACGAATTCACAATTTTTGTTCCCCTTCACCCATAGATGCCATGTGCCAAAATTGGTTGAAATTGGTTCACTGGTTCCAGAGAAGAAGCTGAAAATGTTCAAAAGTTTACGACTGACGAACGACGGACGACAACGGACGTAAAGAGATAGCAATAGGTAACCTGAGTGACTCAGGTGACCTAAAAAAGGAATTAAGATGTCATAAATATATCAGCAACATCTTTAAGCTTAAAACTAGAGGTACTGTGAGCAATGAGCTCACAAAATGATAACCCCCACTTCCATATGAGTATGATGAGAAGTCCATATTTTGCTATGGGAAGCCTCAAATATCTGCCCATTCAGAACACAATATAGGAATTTCACAATGACACTATGTCTGAAAGATTTTGTGAAAGTCTCATCAAATTTTACTCAGTGGTATAGGGGAGTTGCAAATAAGAGATGGGTACCCCCACGTCACAGAAAGAATGGCAGTGTCCATATTTTGCCATTGTAACCCTATTTATCTGCCTGATCGAAAAATAAAATAGGAGGTGGCCAATGGCATTGTGTAATAAACATTTTTTTAAGATTCTGTGAAAGTCTCATTAAATTATTTTCAGTGGTATAGTAGGAGTTGTGGATAAGAGATGGCTATCCCAATGTTATGGAAAGAATGCCAGTGTCTATATTTTGCTATAGGAACCCCTAATATCTGCCCAATCGAAAAATAAAATAGGAAATGCACAATATAATAAAAATTCTGTGAAAGTCTCATTAAATTTTATCCAATGGTGTAGGAGGAGTTGTGGATAAGAGATGGATACCCCCTATGTTATAGAAAGAGTGGCAGTGTCTACATTTTGCAATGAAAAACCCTATTTATCTACCTGATCATGGGTACCCTCTTTGTGATAGAAAGAATGGCAGTGACCATATTTTGCTATGGATAACCCTATTTATCTGCCCAAATTGAAAAGTAAAATAAGAGATGCACAATGGCACTATGTAATAAAGATTCTGTGAAAGTCTCATTAAATTTTATCCAATGGTGTAGGAGCAGTTGTGGATAAGAGATGGGTACCCCCTATGTTATAGAAAGGGTGGCAGTGTCTACATTTTGCTATGAAAAACCCTCTGCCTGATCAAAAAATAAAATATGAGGTGCACAATGGCACTATCTAATAATAATTCTGTGAAAATGTCATTAAATTTTATCCATTTGTTACTGATATAGGAGGAGTTGTGGATAAGAGATGGGTACCCCCAAGTGTTATGGAAGGATGGACAACCTGTCACTACCTCCCACTTTTCAAGCCGGGATGGGGGTGAAGGTCTAAAATTTATAATTTTAAATATCTATACTTAAACAAAAGAGAAACAGATAAAACATCCATTTTTTAAACATGTTCGTAATATCTATAAAGCTTATAGGGTACACTGATATAAAATTGAGTGACAGTGTTTATAAAAATATCAATTTGATGCATGACTTTGGTAATTTAAGAAAGATAAAGTACACATGAACAATTTTCTTGCATGCATTTTACAGCCTCCAGTGAACATAGACAGCCTCTGTACAATAAGGCATCTGACAATGAGTGCTTACTTTGTGTCCCAGAAGAACCTAAAGCCACCCGATCCATACAATGGCAGCTCTTTAGATTTGTCTGATAAAGACTCTAGGTATGAGTGGTTCCCATATGGAACTAACCGGTACCTAAAATTCAGATGTATCTGTGGTTAAGTCTAAGTACATGTTGTACCTATAAATCATATACATGATCTGATTAACTGTACGTATACAAATGGTATGTTAGATGTGTCTGTGGCAAGTCTAAGTACTGATAAATTGTAAGACATCTATGCTTATGACAATCTGTGAAATTTTATGCACATAGATCAGACTTAACATAGGCAGGTCTATAAGGGTCTGTCAGATGTGTCTATGATAAGTCCAAGTATCTAAAACTAATTTTACAGAAAACTTGATTATGTGTACCATTATACCAGTCAAATATTTGTATGATAAGTTTCTAAGTTGCTAATCAAAACTCCAATCTACAAAAACATACCTTTGGAATATTAAATTCATTTTTTTAGCCAGTGAATTCAAAAGTAAGACTGTCTGACCCCAGGCAGCATTTATTTCATTCCAGTCAACCTGAAGAACAAACTTAGATATTCCTCAAATAATCTTCATTTCAAGCATTGTTTGGCATCCAGTTTATATGTATATGTACTAATTTATCCAATCTTGTGATATACTTACAGGAACACTAGGTAGCCTTCCAAGACGGAAATTATTAATGGTCCCAAAATGACCACTATGCCTGTAATTAAAGAATAACAAAGTCAAAATTCATGTACTTCTTGCACTCATGCATTAACATTTTGTTAAAGGAATAAGTGTCTTATTTTTGTGTATGAGGCAATGAAAAACCTGAAAGCAGGTGATATATTACAATATTTACATCCACTAAATATTATTTTCTTTATTTCTTATGACAACCAATTGCCGCTTTCAATCAATTAATAATCAAATTCAGAGAATTGTAGTCCCTAACTTTTGGGGTCTTTTTTGTTGGAGTGCAATGATATATGTCATATTGTAACTGTCTTGTCTACCCCTCCATCAAACTAAAAAAGTTATATTATATGTGTTATATTTTTTGTGAATTTTGGACACATTGCCCATATTGACTAGCATAGGTCCAGCATTCAAAGCCAATCTAAAAGTGTGCATTCCTAGATGCATCATCCATGCAAGTCTCATCCAGCTAGGGCTTGCTGCTACTTGAGAATGGACCTGCTACAAAAACTTTAACCTGCTAACTCATCTGGAAAATGTAGGTCAGATCCAGTATTCAAAGCCAGTCTGGTAATGCAAAACTCAATATGAATCATCCATGCAAATTTAGTCACCATAAGGCTTATAGTTACATTGGAATGAAACCTGCTCCTAAAACTCTAACTTGCTCCAAAAACTTAAACCTGCTCCAAAAACTAACCTGGTCTCTAATCCAGGAAATATAGGTCAGATCCTGCATACAAAGCAAGTATGGTAGTGTACATCCCATGATGTAAATTTGCAAGTTTGGTCCAGGTAGGGCTTATACTTTTTTGGGAATGAGACCATTAACCAGAACACCATTGTTGGGGGTATAGCATAAGCTCATCTTGACTATGTCAAGGTGAGCTTAAAATGATTAATTTAAAAAAGCAATTGTAGATCTTCAACCAGAGCACATACCTGGATAATTCATCTTTGGTGCAATGATTTGAATACAAAAAGCAAGCAAAGTTCAAAAAACAAGAATTCATCTAACCATATATGGAAGGTGGTATTGAACACATTGGTTTTCTTTAACTTGTCCAGTTGTGTCTGTGCATATTTTAGTTGGTTGTCAACACTATAAAAATAATTCCATATTAATTAACTCATTTTCCTTTAAAATAATAAAACATAAATCTGCACTTATTTAAAAAATACCTACACAGGAGTATTACATTATTCTGTCTGCTTCTTTGTTTATGTATTCTTTTTTTTCCTGATAATCAGTGCCCCACTGTAAACCCTTCCTTAAGAATTAACAATTCAATTAACATCAAGCATGTCTTACCTTCTTTGTTCATCTTCGAGTTCCTGCACCTGTCTTTTATACTCATTGTATTCTTTCCAATACCTAAAGATACATAAAATCTGAGAGACTGCATCAGACAAGAGTTTGAAGGAACCACAGTATGACATACAAATGCACTATTAATGATTCCTGTTTAATTCTTTCATGTAGAGTAAAGAAAATGGTCAAAGATCAAATTCACTCTTAATTTCTAAGGCATATTGTTTGCCTGTCAGACAAAAAACAATGTTTTTTTAACAAGAGGCCCATGAGTCACAATGCTCAGCTGAGTAACTATGGCCCTTCATCATCAGATTCTTTTTTCTATATATTCTTATGTAAAACTGAACACCTGTCCTCCTCCTCCTCCAGTTTATGACTGATCTCTCTTTCCTTCTCTAGTATGGCCTCCGTCTGCTGCTGTTCTCTCTCTAAGCTCTCTAACTGCTGCCTCAGAGACTGTTCCTCTGCTTGAAGCTAGAAATTTAACAATCCCCGAGTTATGATTGAAACTTAGTATGAAACTTATATTTTGGCATCGTTTCAACAAATGCTCTGAAAATAAAAGGAACAAAATTTCTGCTTCTAAAACTGTATAATTATATAAATATTTTAAAAGATAACATGTATTAAAGCATATTCTCCAACAATTTGTGTTTTAAATGTCCACATACTGTTGTGCATTTATATACACATGCTCTCTGTGTCATTTTAATTTTTACCTGTTTTAACTCTTCATCCAAATTAGTATCATCCTTTTCAGTGCTTAAGTTATCCAAATTTTCAAGAAATTCTCTGAAATAAAATGGAAACAATCTCTTCATTATAAAACTATTGGTAGTTAGAACTAACAAAAAACTATTGTTATCTGTTCATCCTTTTTTGTTATCTTTACATTAAAAAAGTGATCTCAATCTCACCTGTGATTATAAAGTCTCACTTGCAATCTTTACACTCACTGGTACACTTCACATTCTTACCTTCATCACTTTTATCTGTTATCAAGTTATCATTACATTCTCACTTTTTATTTGTAATTAGTCACAATCTTTACATTCTGATTTGTAATTATTATGTTCTGAATCACAAATTTTACATACTCACTAACTACATTCTCTCCTGTAATCTTTATATTCTCACCTAAAATCTTTCCTATCTCAATGTATCCCTTAACTTTGACATGAAATGTTTACATTCTTGAAATTTCTCTATCTTTTGAATCTCCTAAATTATATAAAAAAAAAAATACCTGTTACCATTTCAGACCTGTTTACCCATATTGTTGTCTCTCAGTATTTTTTTTATTAAATTTGTCAGTGAGATTTGGCATTTACCAGTAAGATTTTACTTTCCATCAATTTTACATGTATTACTACAGAACAACTACATTTCTAATTACCATTTCTGTCATTTTTAAAACCACTGAGTTTTGGCGGCCCAACATCACTTAAGTGTTTGAAATCTTTCTCTTTTTTTAGTGATTAAAAAGCATCAAACTGAGACAGATCATAACGAAAACTAACTGCTAAAATCCAAACGAACGGATTTCTGATTTCTGTATTTTCATAATAGCAAAACGTGAGACGCATTTTAGACTCAAAATCTGCACAAAATATGGTGAAATCGTAAGAGTAAACAGGTCTGCTATTCATTTTCTCTCTCTCTAAATCTATACAGACTTACCTGTTACAATTACTATTCTCAACTGCATCACTCACCTGTAATCTTTACATTCATCCTCTGTGATCTTTAACTGGTTATCTAACTGATCCAGCAGGTTGTCTGTACACTCCTACAAAACAGACAAATATAACTAGTACCTACAATAGTTCGGTCTCAATTTTCCTTAGTAGAATCAAATTTGTCCTGCAAGCTATTTAATATAAAACAAAACTGTAAGTCAGGTGATCCGAACCTCTGCCATTCTGATGGAAACTTTCTTCAAGTATGATGACATTTTTAATATAAAAGCAAAATAAGTAAGTCTTGTAAAAGGAATAGAAATATCTTGTGCACCAATATTTCATTAAAATATCTCTGCTTTGACTTTGAGGTAGAAACCTTGATTTCAGCTCACTGACACTCAGTTTGGATATTTTTTTTTTTTACTGAAATACATGTATCTTATATGATAACAAATGCCCAACTGACACTGATACTTTTCTACTAACTTATGAAGGCTTTGACTATCCATCACATGCAAAACTGGAAAATCCCTTCCCTTTTAATAGACAGCCATCATAAATCTGCTGCTGCCTTACATTTCCCTAAACTTAAAAGATCAGCTAGGGAAGATAACTTTTCTCTCAAATCCAGAGCTGAACATTAATTTGGCTCAATGATGTTATGAAAACGTCAAATATTCTGTTAATTTGTTTGAAATTTAACACCTCTCCACACCTACCTCACAAAGTGGATGATCAATCTCTGACTGACCTGACATGACATCAAACAGTGCACTGGAAACCTGAAATGAAATGTCTCTTTAGCTGAAGTGTGGTAAGTACAATATTGTACATAGTTGAAAAACTCTAAAAGATCAGTTCTTACTTACCCGTATTCTGTGACTAAGATTGTCCATGTTCCCGGGGCTTGTTTCCCCCAAAAGGAGGAAATCACCAGCATCTTCATCTTGTTGAGATGTACTGTATATTACAGTAAAAAGAAAGTCAATAAATATTGAATATTCTTTCAATCAAAAGCAACCAATCTTCCCCTCTTCAAAAATTTCTTTTGGGTAAGTTAAAGGCTATACCTTGTTATGTCTCTTTTTGAATAGTTTTCATCCACTTTAACTTCTTCCTACAAGGGAAATATATATCAAGTATACCAGTGATGGCTGAAGATTTATAAACCAGAAAAAGAGAAAATAATACATTTTTCTAAAATTCATTTGTTTTATGCACTCTTAGTCTAAATCAGTGTTTTTCCTATTTATTTTAAAGAAAAGCATTAGAGATCAATTGTAACAGGCTAGGGGTTGAGGTTTATGAACAAAATCTTTGTGGACTTTACAATGATTATTTTTTTTTTAATTTTTTGATTTCTAAGCTGCATTTTTATCAATCTAAGTGGTTAATTTGGCTGGTAGTCGGTAATTAGGGAAAACACTGCAAATATGGACAAAATAAAATTATTTTTTGTTTGGAATTGCCTCCCGCCTCATTGAAATGACCCCTCCTGGAAAAATTTCATTGATGACCAAAACTAATAAGATTTTTTTTTTTATTCAATCAATTCTTGGCCTATTATCACAAGTGCCACCCAATCACTTAAAGTGTTGGATCTAAGCAAAAACTGTGTTTCTTGTTAATGGGAGTTACCCTTTACAAACAAGAGGCCCA